TGCAGCTTCTTGAGAAAAATAAGAGGATGTCAGGGGATGTGGTGCTGCTGTTGGTTAACTGTGTGCATGTGAAGGATGCCATGTAGAATTTCCTGCTTTGAAAAGGGCAGGAAGAAAAATGTTGGGGGCCTTTTTCTTGGAAGGTGAATGAACAAGGCAGCAGTGACAGAGCCCCACTTCCAAATGTGGGATTTCAGCAGAGGGACAGCTGAGGGATGTTAGAAAACAGTGGGTGCTCTTGTCCAAAGAAGTACAGATGAGGGCTAAAGCCATCAACTATTTCAACACCCACAAAGGCAAAGCCACTTGCTGGTGTCCATCCATGGGACAACAGTACGCCAGGGCCTTGATGGTCTCTCTCTCCAGCATGTGAGGAGAGCGTTTGGTCTTCGAGGCTGTTTTGCTGTTCCCTCTTCTCTGATGCAGTCTCTGGTTTTCTAACCTGGCTTCTGTATCCTGAGCCTGCAGTGTGAGGTCCCCTCATGTTGAAATGGCTACTGGAGGATTGCAGGGGCCTTTTCTGACAAAGGTGCTCTGCATCCTCAGCTTCAGGTGATGTCAGTGAGGGTTATTTCACTCCCCCCAAATAAGAAATATGCAGAGATTAAAAGGAAGTGCCAAGTCCCTCTTTCTCACTGGGCACCATGACTCTGCAGAGGGAGAGTTTAAAAAAAAAAAAAAACGGGGACCAAGTGCAAATATTCTTGGACTCTGAAGGGCTTCTAACATGATGAAACCAAAGCACTTGTCCTCATGGCCCTGCTTGTGTCCCATCAGCATCAGTGGTGGCCTAGGGAAGAGACAGCTGCAGAGAGCAACTCTTCCTAGCCTCACTGCATGGTTTGGCTCCTCAATGCCCAGGGCACCCTGCAGTTGCTTTCTTCCCTGGGTGTTTGGCTAATGGAGGGTGACAGCTCCCAGGGAGGGGTCCAGCTGAGAGGTTGGCTGTGGCACTCAGCCCTGTTCCCACAAGGAAGCCTGTTTCAGCTATTTACATCCCTCTCTTTGATCTAGCTTATGACATGAAAAGACATGTCAGCCAGGTAAAGGGAAACAAACAAAATGCAGCAACAGCCCCACATCTCTGCTTGCACATGATCTGCTCCCTAGCACACACCTGCCTTACAGCCACAGATCCTTATCAGCCCTCTGATTTCCTTGCTGTCATCTCTGCTTTCCCTGCACACTGGTGTGCAACTTTCTGCATCTTGTTCACTGCTCAGTAAGATGCTGTGGCTCCCTTGCCCCCTCTCTGTAGCATTTCCCTTTTCTCTAGGGTACAACCAGTGTGGGAAATGCCTTTGCATGTCCTCCTCATTGCATGCAGTGCCAGGGACAGGTGATACAGATCTTTGTTTCCTCCCTAAACTGCTGCAGTGTTTCAGCAAGAAGCTGTTTGCAGCTCACTCCAGAAGTAGCAGTAGTACAGTGACATTGTCCCTCCCTGGAAACCAGATCTTTTTTCTGCTAAGCAGCTTAGGACCTTTCAGGGTGAAAAGTACAATAAAAGTATGAGAATTTGCTGGGCCCAGGGCTGCAGACACAGCAGAACAGTGTTTCCCACCTGTGTTTTTTCTAAAGGACTAGATGTTCTAGACTTGCTGAGAAAGCAAACTTAACTAGTAAGAGTATTGTTGAGATGCAGCAAGCTCTGCGGTGGGGATAACCACTAGCACAAACTGCAGAAGAGTGTGGGAAGGAGAAAATCAGAGGTGAACTCCTACTTTTATCAGCTGTTAATTTTCCTGTGGCATGGGCAGGCTTTTTGGGTTTGCAAAGCTGGGTGTTCCTGGGCAGTCCCCGAGCCATCTGCTCTGTTTATTTTATATAAACCGTATAGGCTGGAATCATTTAGTAAGGGAGATGTCTGCCCAGTCTAGGGCCTGCAGACCCACGCGAGCTGTGCTTCTGTGAGATGGGGCCTAGTTTACAAGGGTTCTTGGCTTTATCCAGGCAGCAGTGGCTCTCTGCTGCATCCAGACTCCTGCTGTGATGATTTCTTGGGAAACCCGGCAGCCAGCAAATCAGCCCTTCTAGCCCCCTTTCTTTCCAAAGCCAAGAGGGAGATGGGCTGCCTTCCTGCTGGTCCTACCTGCCTCCTCCCATGGTGAGAGGTGGCTCTTGGTGGCTTGTTGGTTCTGGTGACAGGGCTGGCACTAAGCAGGGCCAAGTGGAACCAGTACTAGCCCTTCTCTGCATGCTTGGTGTTTTGCTGAGGCCTCCACATCACAACAGTTCTGTTTTGGGAACAGCCTGAACTGGGCATGACTTGAAACTTGTGAGAGTGCAGTTGCAATTGGGACTCTCTCTCCTTCCCCAAGGGAGGAAGGCCCTTGGAGCTAGGTGCTGCTCAAAGACCTGCAAAGCACAGGCCCTGCCCCACTAGGAAAACAGGCCAAGGGTGAGAAGAGAAAGTGAGGCTTGGACAGGGTGCTGACACCTTGCTGACCTGGTCTGCAACCCAACCAGTTGATTCTCAGATTAATGCCTTATCTTTTAGGTATCCTGCTATGTCCTGCAGGATTCAGGATCCTCTCAAGCAATGGGAAAGGAAGCAAGAGGAATACAAAGGATTTTTCCTGCTAGCTCTTGTCGCAGGAAGCCCTGCACTGTCTGAAGGAACCACCACCAAGTGCAGAGGCACTGGGCTTTGAGACTATATCAGAGCAAAGTAAAAGTTCAAGCAGAGGAAATTCCTCTTCCCGTTCTCCCTTCTCATTTACTAGTTCAGTGTAAGGCCACAATTAAAGATTAACTGCCTTCAAATAATACAGCAGAGCTAACACCCACCAGCATCTCCTTGTGCCCAAGATTAGACCTTCAGAGCAGCAGGGTACAGGCAGAGCTGACATGCAATAAACACCTGAGAAGCAGAACCACAGACTGAGGTACCTGCAGGGGGTAATAGTAGCTTTAACTCTGCCCTTCTGAAAAGATGCACTCAGCCCTCCCTGACAAGTGTTTCAATGCTGCAGTGCAAGCACCTGGGTGCTGAGGGGCAGCTCTTCAGGGACCCAGCATGGCCATGTGGTTTCAGCATGGGTTTACAGGGCCTTGTGCATTAAGGGCTTGAACTCAGCCTGGGCAGGGCAGCAGTAACAGCCTTTTATAATACAGAAAAGCCTGGCAGATCCATGTGTGGGTTATTAACTTTCTTTGGGGTACTGGGAGCAGGGTGGTAACATGACTGTATTATCAGAGCCATCAGCCTCTGCATAAAAATCATGCCACAAAAAAAAAAATATAATAAAAAGTTCTCTTTGGGGAGCCTTGGTTTTGTGCCTTTTTTTTTTTTTTAAATAAAGTAAAATACAGATTACAGTTGGATAAGAGCAGGATGGGAGTGAGGGAAACTCACAGAATTGGGCTTTTACTCTTTGTTTAATCAGCTTTGGTCTTATGCTGTAATCTCAGGTGGTCTCCCCAACAGAGTGCCTACGTAAGAGAAGTTCTAAAGTTTGTGCTGGGGTTAATTGTTAAATGGAAACAACATGACAGCAGGCTGTTAGAGACATTTCTGTTCCTCCATTAAAGAGCACCTCAGATTGGCATCAACCCGTACCAAAGCAGTGCAGGTAGGGTCCATGTACTTTGGCTGGTTAGGAACAAACTGGTTTAACTAGAGCTCTTTCCATTCAACACTCAATCTTCCAGCTTAGCTTTTTGTGTAGAAACTTCCCTCTGGGTTTGAAAAACACCCATGGAAAGCTGTGCTTGGGAGGAAGATGCTATAAGTAACAGAGAAACAGAGCTGTATTTACCAGCTTTGCAGAAGGGGCACTGCAAGACTTATACCCATGAAAGTCATGTTTGAATTAATGTCTCTAGGATAGACTCACCTTGTTCAGGCTTAACCCCTGCTTCCTTCCTGTTCTTGCCTCTGTTGAATATTTTTAACCTACTGCTTCAGAGGCATCCTGCACACGCTCTTTCCTAGCCTCCTCCTGCCCTTCCTGCCTTGCTGCCCTTACCAGCATGGGGGACACAAACATGTCTTGCAACTGGCATCTTCCACTGACTCCATCTTCTGCACTACCCTCCTGCAGCTCAGTCTGGGACACAGTTTCCCATGCTCATGCACAGCTGTGGCTTGTCAGAGATAAGGATAACTCACTGCAGGTTTCTGACTCAGTCCAGATCAGCATCATGTGCAGATCCAGTGTGGGCAACCCCAAATGCTGTTTTTACAGCAGCATTGAGCTCAGCCTCTCTAGTTCCTCTCCTTTCTGCGGATGCGTTCAGCAAGAACTGGATGCCTGCTCCACCAGCTCCTTTCCCCATCGGTTTGTTTCTTTC